TGTCTTCTTCAGATGAGCATCTTGAGGGAGACTACGACGTGGACCGCAGCCTGACTGGAGAATTGGTAAATACACGTGCTAGTGATAAAACTAGACGAGGCCAAGGGAAAACAGAATGTAACATTAATGCAACGACACAATTGGCAACTGTGGCTCCCTTGTTGCAGACTGTTGGCTATTCAGATTCTGAATCATCGAGCCCTGTAGGTGGCAGCATGACTGGGGCCTGTCCCACGAAAAGACGAGCTCGGTCTCAGTTACCCCCACGACATATTGGTGCTAACACAGCAACATGGCAGCAACAACAAATCTCGTCTGTCCTTGGCACTGCTGGCCGAACCTCTTCGCCATGTCAATCACACTCACCTAGTCGACACATGTGTAAACACCACAGTCAAAATCACCGTCATAAACATCATCCCCATCTTGATCATTGCCAACACCAACCACAGTTGCAATATGAGCAGACACAATCTCATGAAAAACATCAAAGACATACTAGGGCATCAAGTACCAAATGCGATCCGATTGTCACGCCTAAAGAAACGTTTCCATGTGCTCCAGATACCTTGGTTGACTGCCAACTTCGCTCTGAAGTCTTTCAGCAAAGCAACACGGACACTCTTGTCCAGGGATTGGTTAACTCAATAGCCACTACATCTAGTGGTTGTGTGGCATCTCTCTTTCCGGCCAAAACTACCAATGCCAAGCCACGTCGACTTCACTTTGTATTCCGATTGCCTGTGATGGCTCGCGACGCAGAGCTTCTGCGTTCGGAGACTGAACGCTTGCTATCTAGGCTAGCGACATGCGACGGTAGCTGCGGCAAAATTTCCTTTTCCTCTGCTTCCAATAATTGCGCACATTCTGCCCTCGGCACTCGTTCCTCCGCCACGCACACTTCTTTGCCTTCCTCCTCGTGTTCATCCGCCTCATATGATTCTTCTCCCACTCTTTCTGCTTCCGCCAATAGGACATCTGTAGCATCGTTTACCACAGACGATTGCCAATCATGCATCCCTCATCCAGCAGGTGTCTACATTACATGTGTTGACAAGTATCGGTTCTTCTGTCGATTCGATGATAGTCATTCCAATGAAAAGTACCAGCAGCATCAACCACGAATTAATCAGCTAACGCAGGGCGATGATCGCAAGACTCGAATCGATTCGACCACGGGCGATAATAGCAGCAAAAACAAATACGGGATTGATCTTATTACCAGTTTTGATAATATTGAGAGTGAACCTGGTGGCAATGAGCCCGAAGCTGAAGTAAGCGCCCAGTCTTTTGAATCCCCTTCTTCTGTCGCTTTCGATGTTGAGGTGGTTCGGCTGGCTAAGCCGCGTGCATACGGAGTTAGGTTTAAGCGGCGCGCCGGCTCAGCAAAGAGGTTTAAACGTATCGCTGAGGCCCTGGCAGGTCAGTATTGCATATAGTCATCACTGCCTATCGTGTGATTACTGTACGAACGTATGTTTGTACACAACTTTTCACCTCTAATAAGATTGCCATTCAACAGCCATGTGGGCACTGAACAAGATATTGATGTTTTCAACTATAATTTTGGAAACTGGACCATTCGAAAGAGCATACACGAACGGTTTCTGGAGCCTCGTACTTCGAATTCAGACTCACCACTTTCCTCCTATCCAAATACATCCAGACCAAATGACTTCATTCTCGTGCTCGATACATCATCAATATGTGGTCCCGGTCTCCCTTTTTATCTCGATCAGAAGTATTCTGCTACTTTCGAGAATACACTCATTGTACCCTTACATTTTCGTTTCCCTGCATGAAAATCAGGCCTTACTACACGCACGGAGGGTTTCGGCTTTTAGTCGTATGCTTATTCGAAATCGAAATGTTACTCACTCGCATTCGCCTCTTGGTATACATATATAATTTCGACCAGAACTTTTTCGTAGAATACCCATTCTTATCGCATTCAAAAACTTGAATGCACTTTTAACTTCGTCTCCATTTTTCAATGTTCTTTTTTTTCAAAATAGACCAAGAAACTTTTACCTGCCCCATACTACAGATAGACTACTCATCCTGCTTATCTCCCTAGATCTTTCTCTCAGAATTAGTTTGTTATGATATACTAATGAAACATGCGCAGTACACGCCACATTTTGATTTAGTCTCCATGTTCTTGCCGACCCAAATTAAACCTAATCCCCTGTTTTCAAGCACCCGGTAAACTGTTGCTTTGTTTTTCCCTAAGGAAGTATCAGATATTTTATTGGCTCTATATGCTTTCAGTACTTGCACTCAACTACCGAAATTTTTCTTTTGAACGCGGTCTTTTAGCTTGACTGAATCGTTTTTTCATTTAATTTTCTTATTCCGGGATCTGTTCTCAGGGTGAATGTAGTTTCGGGCGTCTTTTTTATCAACTAAACTTGGCGGTTAGACAACTTCCAGCTGAATTTCCTTACACTCGGCGATAATTTCTCCCCTACTTCCATACTTATTTTGACCGCTCTGATTGTTCTTCGGTCCGATCATGTGAATGCCGTAAGACGACCCTCCACAAATTTGATCAGAAGATGATCCTGGCCATGTCCTTACTTTTAATTTTTTTCTTCCGCACGTATCAACATTGCTATATTTCAACGGGCTTTCCTTCAGAGATTATTTCTTTTCCAACCTAACCCACTGCATCCATTTTATCACCAAATGTCCTTTCAATTATAATTCGAGAATTTTGGTGGGCAGACCTACATGCTAAAGTATACGTCGCGCCGCAGCGCGCACTCGCCGTTTCATCCTGAATAGTAAACAGATCTGATTTCTTATACAAACTGCGGTTGCTCTCTTACTGAGCTGAATGTTTGTCTGTGTTCGCATAACTACGACTTCGTATTTACGCCCCCAATATGTACAGCTGAATTAATCACGATTTATGGCTCTGATTATTGATAATAATAAAGAGAATAATTACAATATCATTGAATTGGCTCGTCTTAAACTAGATTTACAATCCTTAAATGTCACCGAGTGTCTGGACCACACGGGTTGACCTCTAGAAAGTTGTGCGTTCACTTCTCGAAGACTGCTAAGTGCAACTATTTAAAGAATTCAGAAACGCATAACTGGGAAATATAATAGAAGAAATCAAGTATAGGTTAAATTTCAACTAGAGGTACTATACAACAAATGCAAATTCTTGGAAGAATCTATTTAAGTAAGCGATACAAAACTTGGCTCTTGTCACTGAATTTACACTGATGATCGAGCATTTACATAAAGAGCGTGAGTTCAACACCGCGTTGTAGTAGTACTCTACTGATTGGGGCAAGTGTCGTCAATGCCTTCATGAGTTTCTTCCGGACCCAGATCCACACGCCAGAAAATACCAGGGGAATCAGAACGTCGAATATAGTAAGAATTACAAGGCTCCGTTTTGCTTAAGTCATTCTGGGTCTGCTCAATATACGGGGGATGAATGTGGGTTATTTCTTCTTTAGTAGGCTTGAGTAAAGTCTGCCGTGATGAATTGGAAGGATCAGAAGCAAGCAGAGAATAGAGACGAAAAAGGTTAATAGTTATCAGTCTTTTATATATATTTCATCTGTGTCTGCATATAACTATTTTCCTTATTCAATTGTGCGAAGAAATGGTATTTGAATTTTCTTTACAATGATATGACTAGGCCTTATTTGTCAACTGAAATTCATAGTCTACAGTGGACTTGATTCTCAACTTCACCCATGTCTCAGCACCCCCAGCGCGACT